AGAGAAAAGAATGAAAACAGAAGCTTTTTACACCTGCCTTCTCAAGGTATGGCATTTCTTGTTCACTCTGAATGTATAGACTCAAGATAGATCTTTGTGTTATTGAGATGTTGGCCATCTGGTTAACACAAGAAATAAATCTATTCTACTGCTGTATATAAAAGTAAACTTCATCAAATTGTCCCTGTTTGCAGATGACATGATTGTATATTTAAAAAACCCCATTGTCTCAGCCCAAAATCTCCTTAAGCTAATAAGCAACTTCAGCAAAGTCTCAGGATACAAAATCAATGTGTAAAAATCACAAGCATTCTTATACACCAGTAACATGCAAACAGAGAGTCAAATCATGAGTGAACTCCCATTCACAATTGCTTCAAAGAGAATAAAATACCTAGGAATCCAACTTACAACGGATGTGAAGGACCTCTTCAAGGAGAACTACAAACCACTGCTCAATGAAAGAAAAGAGGACACAAACACATGGAAGAACATGTCATGCTCATGAATAGGAAGAATCAATATTGTGAAAATGGCCATACTGCCCAAGGTAATTTATAAATTCAATGCCATCCCCATCAAGTCACCAATGACTTTCTTCACAGAATTGGAAAAAACTACTGTAAAGTTCATATGGAAACAAAAAAAAAAGCCCACATTGCCAAGACAATCCTAAGTCAAAAGAACAAAGCTGGAGGCATCATGCTACCTGACTTTAAACTATACTACAAGGCTACAGTAACCAAAACAGCATGGTACTGGTACCAAAACAGAGATATAGACCAATGGAACAGAACAGAGCCCTCAGAAATAATACCACACTTCTACAACCATCTGATCTTTGACAAACCTGACAAAAATAAGAAATGGGGAAAGGATTCCCTATTTAATAAATGGTGCTGGGAAAACTGGCTAGCCATATGTAGAAAGCTGAAACTGGATCCCTTCCTTACACCTTATATAAAAATTAATTCAAGATGGATTAAAGACTTAAATGTTATACCTAAAACCATGAAAACCCTAGAAGAAAACCTAGGCAATACCATTCAGGACATAGGCATGGGCAAAACACCAAAAGCAATGGCAACAAAAGCCAAAACTGACAAATGGGATCTAATTAAACTAAAGAGCTTCTGCACAGCAAAAGAAACTACCATCAGAATGAACAAGTAATCTACAGAACGGGAGAAAACTTTTACAATCTACCCATCTGACAAAGGGCTAATATCCAGAATCTACAAAGAACTTAAACAAATTTATAAGAAAAAAATCAAACAATCCCATCACAAAGTGGGCAAAGGATATGAGCAGACACGTCTCAAAAGAAGACATTTATGCAGCCAACAGACACATGAAAAAATGCTCATCATCACTCACCATCAGAGAAATGTAAATCAAAACCACAATGAGATACCATGTCACAACAGCTAGAATGGCGATCATTAAAAAGTCAGAAAACAACAGATGCTGGTGAGGATGTGGAGAAATAGGAACACTTTTACACTGCTGGTGGGACTGCAAACTAGTTGTGGAAGACAGTGTGGCAATTCCTCAAGGATCTAGAACTAGAAATACCATTTAACCTAGCAATCCCATTACTGGGTATACACCCAAAGGAATATAAATCATGCTGCTATAAAGGCACATGCACACGTATGTTTATTGTGGCACTATTCACAATAGCAAAGACTTGGAACCAACCCAAATGCACATCAATGATAGACCGGATTAAGAAAATATGGCACATAAACACCATGGAATACTATGCAGCCATAAAAAAGGATGAGTTCATATCCTTTGTAGGGACATGAATGAAGCCGGAAACCATCATTCTGAGCAAACTATCGCAAGGACAGAAAACCAAACACCGCATGTTCTCACTCATAGGTGGGAACTGAACAATGAAAACACTTAGACACAGGTTGGGGAATATCACATACTGGGGCCTGTCGTGGAGTGGGTGGAGCAGGGAGGGACAGCATTAGGAGATATACCTAATGTAAATGACGAGTCAGTGGGTGCAGCACACCAACATGGCACATGTATACATATGTAACAAATCTGCACACTGTGCACATGTACCCTAGAACTTAAAAGTGTAATTTAAAAAAAGAAAGCAAACTTCATAACAATAATTTTTGTTTTTGTTTTTGTTTTTTTTTTAAAGACAGAGTCTCGCTCTGTCGCCCAGGCTGGAGTATAGTGGCATAATCTCAGCTCACTGCAACCTCCGCCTCCCAGGTTCAAGTGATTCTCATGCCTCAGCCTCCTGAGTAGCTGGGATTACAGGCACCTGCCACCTCACCCAGCTACTTTTTGTATTTTTAGTAGAGACGGGGTTTTGCCATGTTGGCCAGGCTGGTCTTGAACCCCTGACCCGAGGTGATCCACCTGCCTTGGCCTCCCAAAGTGCTGGGATTACAGGCATGAGCCACTGCGGCTGGCCGATTTTTGTTCTTAATTTCAATTTCTGCTTAAAATAGACAAGAGAACCAATTTCATTCAGCCTCTATTAAAATTACCGCTAGAGTTGTAAATGGTTTGGATGCATCTTCAGGACAGATTACCATGTTTGAAGATTTTCCGTAATCAAAAAAACCAAATAGATATAAAAATCTATGACATTCTTAAACTTTTGCTCTTGAAATTATGTTGTTAGATGAAATATCTGTAAAATATGTAAATATAATTTTAAAACCTGACCTCATATTTTGTAACTTTGAGATAAATTATCAAATAAATGAGAACTTAAATGTTCTAAACTCTTTAAAGCCTTCAGGGGATTACAGCTTATATATTTCTTTTTTATTTTTTTGAGACAGAGTCTTGCTCTGTCGCCAGGCTGGAGTGCAGTGGCATGATCTCAGCTCACTGCAACCTCTGCCTCCCGGGTTCAAGCGATTCTCCTGCCTCAGCCTCCCGAGTAGCTGGGACTACAGGCACAGGCCACCACATCCAGCTGATTTCTGTACTTTTGGGAGGGAAGTGGTTTCACCATGTTGGCCAGGATGGTCTTGATCTCCTGACCTCATGATCCACCTGCCTTGGCCTCCCAAAGTGCTGGGATTACAGGTGTGAGCTGCCACACCTGGCCTATAGCTTACATATTTCTTATTCTTTGAAGTACCTAAGACAGTATCTTATATATAGTAAACGACAAATATTTGTTTAATGGATTAAAACCAGGATAACAATAACAACAACAAAAAAAAAGGAACGTTTTCAAGGAAGAGCTTGGTTACCATGAACAAAATTTTCCTTGTAAAAGGAAAAAGACTGCTAGTGTTTTGAGTTTTTAAGATGTCACTTTACAGCAGCATCAAATGATAGACAGTGGCCGGGTACAATGGCTCACGCCTATAATCCCAACACTTGAGGACGCCAAGCTAGGAGGATTGCTTGAGACCAGGAGTTTGAGACTAGCCTGAGCAATGTAACAAGACCCCATCTCCACAAGAAACAAAAAACAAGCTGGGCATAGTAGCATGCACCTGTAGTCTCAGCTACTTGGAGGGCTGAGGCAAGATGACTTGAACTCAGGAGTTCAAGGCTGCAGTGAGCCATGAGTATGCCACTTCAATTCAGTGTGGGCAACACAGCAAGACTCTATTAAAAAAAAAAAAAAAAGAGTGGAAAACAGAGTCTTCTTTTTAATCAACAGAAGAATTACATTTATCTTTCAATGTTTTATCAGTATGTTTTAACATCTATTCATTATCAAATATTTACTGTTTTATGCAGAGATAACAAGAGAATGTATTTGGTGTTACTGAATTTTGGTTACTGAATATGGTAATTTGGGTTTATTATTGTCTTTGCTCTCAAAGAGACTAATATTAATAAATATCTGAGAGAGAATGTGCTTGTGTGTGTATTTACACAACATAGCTCATGGTCTGTGTTTGTGTTGCCTTAGAATAAATAAATCAAGAATAAAATTTGCGTTGGTTCCAAATTAACTATTCTTCACCAACTTTTTGACCTTAGAATGAACTTTGAATCAACACAAGTTTTATTCTTGAATAATTCAGGATTTTATCTGAGTATGCCTAGTTAAAAACCTGTGCGTACCCAGCCTAAAATATGGACCCATCCCAAACAACTGACAAAACACATAAAGAAGTTAACTACATCACATCTATTATTAACTTTGCAGGCATTACTCCCACTGCCACAATCACTTTATTTCCAGCATTAGATGGTATTTAATCTCTCTCTTCTTTTTTTTTTTTTTGAGACGGAGTCTTGCCCTGTTGCCCAGGCTGGAGTGCAGTGGTGCGATCTCAGCTCACTGCACGCTCCGCCTCCCAGGTTCAAGGGATTCTCCTGCCCCCACCTCCCAAGCAGCTGAGATTACAGGCGCCCACCACTACGCCCAGCTAATTTTGTATTTTTAGTAGAGACGGGGTTTCACCATATTGGTCAGGCTGGTCTTGAACTCCTGACCTCATGATCCACGTGCCTCAGCCTCCCAAAGTGCTGGGATTACAGGCATGAGCCCCCACGCCCTGCTGGTATTTAGTCTTTAGTCAGGTTATATATAAAGATACACATATAATCTATATATATGATGTAGATTGTTAATATAACTATTAAATATCAATGCTAAAGAAATAATGTAAATAGCTTCCTAATGAACAATGTGTCTTTCAGTAGATTGGGGCTGACACACCGCAATTCAAATTAGTTAAAAGCCTAGGTTAAAACTAAAAATAGTAGATATAAAGATGTTCTTATCCATCATAAGTTTTCAGCTCCTAGCAGCATAAATCCTATTTATGTAAGTTATTTAGTAATATTCTTTATACAGAATTTAGCTATTTAATGGTATATGAAGATAACAGATGCATAAGCAACAAAATTTTTGTTGTAAATATTTTTAAATGAAAAAGGCAACAGGGAAATTGTTAGAAAAATTTACAACGAAATAACTGAATCACAATTTAAACTACCTAATAAAGCTCACTTATGAATCTGATTTTTAAATTAGCTATACTTACGCTTGTCTTTCAGTAAATATGACATCCATACTTTGTGTTTCTCGATCATTTTGAGCTTTAAGCTGGATAAACAGTTAACACATAAGTTAGTAATAAATAAATACTAAACCAAATTTTTTCTTTGTAGGTTATTTTGGTTACGAACTAAATGAGAAAATATTATAATCATCCCAGTGCCACATTACAAAGTTTAAGAAAAAAAAATAGTTATTGTCTCATTTAACAAACAATACCAGATTTTTAAAAAGTCTTAAGAAGCATTGTAATCTCATACCAAAAATATTCATTGTACTTCAGTGGTCTGTCAAATTCAACGTGAATTCAATTTATGTAAACAGCATTTAAAGCAGGTATTGAATGTTCAATAAATATTTGATTAGTAATATGTTAAATTTAGAACCACCACAAGTTTTATTCCTGAACCATTCAGGATCTGAGTATAGCTAATTAACTACCTGTGCATACCCAGCCTAGAAAATGGATCCCCCATCCCAAACAACCAACAAAACACATAAGGTTTTTACTTTTTATATCTGGCATTGAAATTCTTTTTTTTTTTGAGATGGAATCTTGCTCTGTCACCCAAGCTGGAATGCAGTGGCATGATCTCAGCACACTACAACCTCCACCTCCCGGGTTCAAGCGGGTCTCCTGCCTCAGCCTCCTGAGTAGCTGGGATTACAGGCGCGCGTCACCACACCCGGCTAATTTTTATATTTTTAGTAAAGACGAGGTTTCACTATGTTGGCCAGGCTGGTCTCGAACTTCGGACCTAGTGATCCTCCTGCCTCTACCTCCCAAAGTGCTGGGATTACAGGCATGAGCCACCACACCCAGCTGAAATACAATTCTTAATTAGAGAATTCTCCTGTGTTCTAAAGGTAAAAGTAACTAAATTATCATAGTTTTAGAACCCCAAATTTAGAAGAGTCATTTTATAAATCCTATGTCTTCATAGAATAGTCTTTATTCACGTAAATAAATTACAAATCATATAAATCATAAATTGTATGTTATTTTCATCCAAATGCTTATATTCAAAATAAGCTAGCTATCAACATATTTTATTGTTTTCTACCAAGTAATCTAAGAACACTGAACACAAATTTGTTTTTGTTTTATTTTAGATTCAGGGGTACATGTGCAGATTTGTTACATGGATATATTATATAACGGTAAGGTTTGGGCTTCTAGTGAACCCATCACCCAAATAATGAACACTGTAACCGCTAGGTAATTTTTCCACCCTTATTGCCCTCCTACCATCCCCCTTTTTGGAGTCCCCAGTGATATGTCCATGTTAAATACAAATTCTCATTTACCAATCAAAAATTAATATTATGTCTGGATTCATATCTATTCATTTTTATCCACTGGTGACAAAAACTATGTAAAGTTATCATTTGTCACACTGAGTATTAATCAACATTTGTGCATAAACTAAGCCAGAAATATTGTAAACTAATATATATAAGGAAATGCAGATGGCACTCCCTAACTAATGTTGCATGTGACACCAGTTCAAACACAGTAGACAGTTACTACACATCCACTTAGGGGCCGGGCGCAGTGTCTCATGCCTGTAATCCCAGCAATTTGGGAGGCCAAGGCGGGTGGATCATGAGGTCAGGAGACCGAGACCATCCTGGCTAACATGGTGAAACTCCATCTCTACTAAAAATACCAAAATTAGCCGGGTGTGGTGGCAGGCGCCTGTAGTCCCAGCTACTTGGGAGGCTGAGGTAGGAGAATGGCGTGAACCTGGGAGGCGGAGCTTGCAGTGAGCCAAGATCGTGCCACTGCACTCCAGCCTGGGCAACAGACTTAGACTCTGTCTCAAGGAAAAAAAAAAAGAAAAATCCACTTAGGAAAGCCAACCAACAGCAAGAAAATTTAAAAGAGCAACTAAGGGAGCTCAATGAATACATAATAGCGATATTTACAATTAGAGTAATATTCATCTCTATAGCACTTAAGGTTTTATCAAACTTTCTCTAGATATAAATGTTTTGCTTTGTAGGATATGACTTACACAGATCAATTTGCTTATATTTATAAATTTTCTTACCATATTGTAATCATTCATTACTTCTTCCATTTCAGTGTTGGTATTAAGTTTATCTACCAACTAAAAACAAAAATACAAACAAACAAACACCATTCTGTTAGTCTTTACACATGTTCTCTATAATTAATAATATAGGTATTCAGTCTTACAAATAATGAGTAGTAACTTAAGTATTAATACTTTTAAATATGTTCTGTTTTAAGATAAATATTGAGCTAAGTAAGCATGTATTATGTACCTTGCCAATAAACAAACTACATTTTTAACATGGATAAATGAGCAGTAATAAACTACTCTTTCTGCAAATTATACCTTGTAGACCCCTTTGCCTGCTCTGAAAAGATGGCTGAGCTTATAAATAAGGGTCTGGAAAAGACAAAAGTTTTGGAAAGATCTATCACTCTCTCTTCCCCTGCCAATGCCCCCAAGGAGAGAGAAGTGTTAGCAGATTTACAAATTTACACTAGCAAAAATGTAAAAAGATGTTCTTTATCATGTAATAATTTTAAAAAATCAACAGGGCTTGCACAGATAGAACAGTAGTAAGCCTACTTCAAAAAATTAGGCAAGGATATCAGTTGCCAACATAGGGTATTTACCTAGTATCAAACACTATTCCATATATATTAACTCACTTAATTTTTACAGTTACTCTGTGAAGTAGATATGATTGTACACATTTAACAGAAAAACAAAACTAGGAAGTGATACAGCCAGAATGTGAACAGAAGGTCTACTAAAAACAAACTACTTGGGTATAATGTATATCACATTTTTCACTTATAAGTGCTAATAAGACCTAGCATTTATTGAGTGCTAACTATATGTCAGATACCCAGCTAACTGCTCTGTATCAGATATTAGCTCATTAAATCTATAAATAGCATATTTTACACACTAGTATTTCTATATGAATATGTCTAATTTGTTCCAGCATAACTAAAACTCCCTTTCATCTAATGTCATTTCATACCTTATAAAAACGATTTTTCTCGGCCCGGCATGGTGGCTCACGCCTGTAATCCCAGCACTTTGGGAGGCCAAGGGGGGCAGATCACGAGGTCAGGAGTTTGAGACCAGCCTGGCCAACACGGTGAAACCCCATCTCTACTAAAAATACAAAAATTAGCTGGGCGCCTGTAATCCCAGCTACTCGGGAGCGTGGCTGTAATCCCAGCTACTTGGGAGGCTGAGGCAGGAGAACCATTTGAACCCAGGAGGCGGAGGTTACAGTGAACTGAGATCACGCCACTGCACTCCAGCCTGAGCAACAGACCGAGACTCCGTCTCAAAAAAAAAAACAACAAAAGAAAAGCAACTATTTTTCTCATATTTAAAACAGAACATCATTTACTAAAGAAAATCCAACTGAATAATGGGCTCCACAAAATGTCTGTGATGAATTGTATAGTCCAGCAAATTTAAGAATTACAAGAGGGCTGGGTTCAATGGCTCATGCTTATAATCCCAGCACTTTGGGAAGCTGAAGCAGGAGGGTCACTTGAGCCCAGCAGTTCGAGATCATCCTGAGCAACATAGCAAGACCTCATCTCTCCAAAAAATATAAAAATTAGCCAGGCATGGTGGCATGCACCTGTAGTCCCAGCTACTTGGGAGGCTGATGCAGGAAGATCACTTGTGCCCAGGAGTTCGAGGCTGTAGTGAACTACAATCATGCTACTGCACTTCAGCCAGGGCAACAGAGCAAGACCCTATCTCTAAAAAAATTTAAAAATAAAAATAGTCCAGGTACAATGACTTAAGCCTGTAATCCCAACACTCTGGGAGACCAAGGCAGGCAGATAGATCACTTGAGCCCAGGAGTTTGAGACGAGTATGGGCAACATGGCCAAACCTCATTTCAATAAAAAATACAAAAAAATTAGCCTGGTGTGTTGGCATGTGCCTGCAGTCCCAGCTGTTTGGGAGGCTGAGGTGGGAGAATCAATTGAACTCAGAAAGTCTAGGCTGCAGCGAGCCATGATTGAGCCACTGCATTCCAGCTCAGGCGACAAAGCAAGACTGTCTCAAAAAAAAAGCCCAAAAAACAAAACAAAACAAAAAACAAACAAAACCCATCACCACCACTAATAATAACAACAAAAACAAAACTAAAAAGTTATACTACAATCAGCAAAATTTTTTGATAAGCACAAGGTAACAATATCAAGTAGGTATATCATAACTTATCCTAACCATTATGATAGAATGTTTATTTCTTGTAACACTATTTCTTAATAAGTGAGATAAAAATTTGTCTTTTTCATTAAATCCAGACACCACTGCTGCTAAAGCAACTAAAAAGTTAGAAAAAAGAAAATTCTGACACTAGAAATTTCCATGGGGCCAATATTACCCAAGGATTGAGCAGTTGTCAATACTGCCAGAGGGACTGTTTCTTCTGAAAGTCCACAGGTAGAAGCACCTTTGGTAGAACTATATTTATGTTATATACTCTATTTTGACAGAATGTACACAATATTTCAAGTAAAACATAGAGATGGTGGCAATTTGTATGTTAAATAATTAAATTTAAAAATTTTCAAGATGACAACACTCAATAAAAGTTTAACTTTTCAGCTTTTTGAGGAATCGCCACACTGCTTTCACAGTGGTTGAACTAATTTACACTCTCACCAACAGTTTATAAGCATTTCCTTTTCTCTGCAACTTCATCAGCATGTGTTATTTTTGACTTTTTAGTCATAGCCATTCTGACTGACATGAGACGGTATCTCATTACTCTTTTGATCTGCATTTCCCTAATGATCAGTGATGATGAGTTTCTTTTCATATGCTTGTTGGCTGTATGTTTATCTTCTTTCAAAAAGTATCTGTGCATGCCCTTTGCCTACTAAAGTATTTTTAAAGCAGTAGTAAAAACTAATGAAAATATTAACAGTAAATTCTCTTGGAAAAGAAAAAATACCATGTTGTAGTCTGCTAGTTGTCCTTGAAACTCTTTTATTTCAACAGCTAAAGTCTCAGCCCTGCAAGCATAAAATAAATATTCATAAATATATACATAAGAAAATAAACATTACAAACAGTATGGATAGCTACAAATTTAGTATTGTTTAAGTACAAAACACTGAATGAATACTACATACTTATTACTCACCTCTTTTCATACGACAAATATACTGAATTCTCTTGATTGTACATTTCTATTTCCTTCTGAAGTTTACTAACTTCTGTTGTAAGTTCACTTATTTTACTTCTATTAGAAAAGAAATAAAAAGGTTGGCAATACTTTCAATCCAGAAAACTCTAGGTAAGCAAAATTTAAACTTTTCAGTAATATGTAACAATAATATAAATAGTTTTGTGAAATTCACTAAAAGAATACCAAAAGTTTAGGTGGCTTATTTCATTAAGAATGAGGTATATCCCAGCTGGGTGTGGTGGCTCACGCCTGTAATCCCAGCACTTTGGGAGGCCAAGGTAGGCGGATCACTTGAGGTCAGGAGTTCGAGACAAGCCTAGCCAACATGGTGAAACCCCATCTCTACTCAAAATACAAAATTTAGCTGAGTGTGGTGGCACATGCCTGTAGTCCCAGCTACTAGGGAGGCTGAGGCAGGAGAATAGCTTAAACCTGGGAGGTGGAGACTGCAGTGAGCCGAGATCGTGCCACTGCACTCCAGCCTGGGAGACAGAGCGAGACTCTGTCTCAAAAAAAAAAAAAAAAAAGGAGGTATATCCCATTCTATTCTACTCAACTGATGAGAAACTGACATAGATTCATTAAGAAAGATGAAATAGAACCAGAATGAAAGCCTGGTCAAACTAGTACATGCCATAGGCAGATGTAGGTGCTTAACTGTCATCATCACAGCTGCTGCTACCCTCTAGAGCACAGTTTATCAACGGTAGCACTAATGACATTCTGGGTCGGTGATTAGTACTTCGTGTTGAGAGCAATCTTGTACACTGTACGATGTTTACCAGCATCCTGGATCTGAACATCAGTAGCACTTCCTCCAACCTCATTCGTGACAACCAGAAACATGTATAGAAATTGCCAAATGTTCCCTGGGGGCAAAATCACCACCAGTTGAGAACCACTGCTCTACAGCCAATTACACAAATAGCTAGAACTATTCTTTGATGTGGAGGCACAAATCCTGGGGTAGAAAGGCAATGCAATCATTAGGAATAACTATATTTCCTTTCCTTCCTTTGATTAAAAAGTGGCTGAATATCAGAGATACTAAACAACTGATGGCCTTATTATCTTTCTAACTTCTCTTAGCTTTGAGAACAGATGGGGAAAAACCATACTTTTCTTTATTGCCTTCTAGGAGTTTGAGACTCAAAAGGATCCAGGTACTGAGAAATAAAAGAAAACAGGGCTTTCAGAGCATGATGGGAGGATGGATTAAACAAAAGAGAAATAAAAGAGAAAGAAGATACAAATAATATGCCAAGAAGAAAATAAGGTAAAACGGGAAGATGGAGATAGGACAGTAGAACAAGTAACTGGAAAAATAGTAAGATTAAGAAAAAGTCATTGATTTAGAGATGCATCCCCAGAGACATACCCAGAGACATATAACAAAAGTTTATGAGGCCGAGTGCGGCGGCTCACACCTGTAATCCCAGAACTTTGAAAGGTGTAGGTGGCCAGGCTCAGGTGTGGTGGCCGGCGCCTGTAGTCCCAGCTACTTGGGAGCCTGAGGCAGGAGAATGAGCCAAGATCGTGCCACTGCACTCCAGCCTGGGCGACAGAACGAGACTCCATCTCAAAAAAAAAAAAAAAAAAAAGCAAGGCATAGGCAGGTGGATTACCCGAGGTCAGGAGTTCAAGACTAGCCTGGCCAAAATGGTGAAACACCCATCTCTACTAAAAACACAAAAATTAGGCCAGGTGCAGTGCTCATGCCTGTAATCCCAGCACTCTGGGCAGCCGAGGTGGGCGGATCACCTGAGGCTGGGAGTTCGAGACCAGCCTGACCAACATGGAGAAACCCCATCTCTACTAAAAATACAAAATTAGCTGGGCATGGTGGCGCACACCTGTAATGCCAGCTACTCGGGAGGCTGAGGCAGGAGAATCACTTAAACCCCGGAGTCAGAGGTTGCGGTGACCAGAGATCATGCCATTGCACTCCAGCCTGGGCAACAAGAGCAAAACTCTGTCTCAAAAAAAAAAAAAATTAGCCAAGTGTGGTGGCAGGCACCTGTAATCCCAGCTACTCGCAGATTACAGGCACGAGGCTGAGGCAGGAGAATCACTTGAATCCAGGGGGCAGAAGTTGCAGTGAGGTGAGATCCCATCATTGCACTCCAGCCTGGTGACAAAAGCAAAACTCCATCTCAAAAAAAAAAAAAAAAAAAAAAATTGCTACCATAAGCAGACAGTGTCTTATGAACTGATTTTATTGGTATATGCTGATAAAAAAAAAAAAAAAAAAAAAAAAAGCTTACAAATTAATTAAAATTAGGCCATATTCGTAGCAACTGACCAAATATATACTTACGTAAGACTCTGCACTGATTAACGTAACATAAATAAGTATACACATTTTTCCTTTCTTATTAGATGTAGTTGGTAACATTTTAATGATATGAGTAACACATTTCAGATTAATTACTGAAAAAAACATAAAAGATTATTCTTGGCCAGGCGCGGTGGCTCATGCCTATAATTTCAGCTCTTTGGGAGGCCGAGGCAGGTGGATCACCTGAGGTCAGGAGTTCAAGACCAGCCTGGCCAATATGGTGAAACCCCATCTCTACTAAAAAATACAAAAGTTAGCCAGGCATGGTGGTGCATGCCTGTAGTCTCAGCTACTCAGGAGGCTGAAGCAGGAGAATAGCTTAAACCTGGAAGGCAGAGGTTGCAGTGAGCTGAGATCACACCACTGCACTCCAGTCTGGGTGACAGAGTGAGACTCCGTCTCAAAAAAAAAAGAAAAAGAAAAAGAAAAAAAAATTACTCTTGGATATCATCAGATGAAAAAAGTGAACTTTAAAAATGCTACAAGAGGTCAGGCACAGTGGCTCATGCCTGTAATCCCAGCACTTCAGAAGGACGAGATGGGTAGATCATTTGAGGTCAGGAGTCTGAGACCAGCCTGGCTGACATGGTGAAACGCCACCTCTACTAAAAACACACACAAAAAATTAGGTGGGTGTGGTCACACACGCCTGTAACTGCAGCTACTCGGGAAGCTGAGGCAGGAGAATTGCTTAAACCCAGGAGACAGAGGTTGCAGTTGAGCCAAGATAACGCCACTGCACTCCAGTCTGAGTCACAGGGCAAGACTCTGTCTCAAGAAAAAAAAAAAAAAATACTATGAGGCCAGGTGTGGTGGTAGTTCATGCCTATAATCCCAGCACTTTGGGAAGCCAAGGCAGGAGGATCACTTGAACCCAGGAGTTCAAGGTTGCAGTGAGCTGTGATCATGCCACTGCACTCCAGCCTGGGCAACAGAGTGGGGCTCTGTCTCTAAAATATAAACAAAATAAAATAAGTATGCTATGGTTTGAATGTTTGTGTCTCTCTGAAATTCATATCAAAATTTAATCTCTAATGCAATAGTATTAAGAGGTAGGGACTTTAGGAAGTTGAAATCAGGCCATGACAGCTCTGCCCTCATGGATGGGATCAGTGCCTTATAAAAGGGTTGAAGGAAACTAGCTAGGTATCTTTTGCCCTTCCACTCTTCTGCCATGAGGACACCTTGATGGCACCATCTTTGAGAAACAGATGCCCACCAAACATTGAAGCTGCTGGTACCTTGCTCTTGGACTTCCACGTCTCCAAAACAGTAAGAAATAAATTCCTGTTAGTTACCCAATCTCAGGTATTTTATTATAGCAGCACAAACAAACTGAGAGAAAATATAGCTCACGTACACACGCAAATTCATAAAATTATAAATCTCAGGCTAATTATACTATCACATTTATTTTACAGCCTAGCCAAATTAACCAGAAATTGCTAGAATACCAAATAATTATTAGAAATCAATAGACACCTAATAAATCCTAACAAGTGCCATAGCTAAAACTTCATATTAAAGTTACATACTCTATTTTGACAGAAGGTACACAATATTTCGAGTAAAACATATGGATGAAAAGACATGTTTAACATACCTAAGAAGCCCAAGATAATAAGATTTGTCTAAAATTTGCCTCTGGGGACCTAAAAAAAATGTTTTAAGTGTTAGTGTTCAGTTTGAAATGCCACCAAAATAGCAAATCCAAAGCACAATCAGAATTACACTCCACAATTCTCAAGACAGTCTTCATGAATGCTCCAATGAATCAAGAAGAATCACTGAATCTGAAAAGAGAATTAGTATCTTAGAATCATGACATAAAGGAAGCTTCAATTAAAACTACGAAGATGGGACTAGAGGTGGGGCTGTTAAGACAGTAGACTCTACAGAACAGGCCAATGGAATGAAAATTGAGTCTAAGGGAATCTAGAACAGAGCTGTCCAAAGTAACTTTCTGCAGTGACAGAAATATTCTAAATTAAAACTGTCCAATAAAGTGGACAGCGAGACTGCAGAGCACTTAAAATTTGGCTGGTGCTACTGGGGAACTAATTTAAATTTCTGACTACTGGCTGTCATACTGGACATTGCAGACATTCCTCAGTATGAGAAAGTGACTATTATTTTTTATCATTTGTCTCAGAGACTTTTGTAATAATGGTCTTACATTTCAGTAGAACTAAGAAAGTATTCTTGGTTAAATGTCTCAAACCTGGTAAGAGATGAAGTACCCTGCAAAGTATGAGAGGTAAAACTAGGTGTATTAACTGTAAGGTCTACGCTGAGAAGTAAAGGTAATATCTTATTACACTGGGAAATGGGGCACTAGAGGAGGTAAGAATGAAAGTCACAGTAGATAGTTGTGTGGAGTGGTAATGTTCCGAATTCTCTCATAAAAGGCTTTGAAGTATACTGGTAGAAACTAACAATCCTAAATTATATCGGTTCTGTTCTGAAGGATAAATTAATACAGAAATAAACATTTGATAAATTTACTGCAGAATTTTAATATGTTTCTACCCTTGATGTTTTAAAATAATATTAAACATATAAATATTTTTGTGCATCCACTTTCAAAAGGCTAATTAAATGACTACGTAATTTTGAAATATTTTTTCATGGTACTGATAATCATTAAGCAAACATTTCTAAATAATCAATTCATTTTTAATATTTAGTGATTTAAATGTTATTAGAATGTAGACGAAAAAACTTAAGTCTCTTGAAAGGGATGATATACTATATTATAGAAAGTAGCATGTATGATATGTTATAATTAATTTTGTACTAGCAGCATATCTTCATTCCTGATAAATCATCTGTCAAAAATATAGAAAACAAACTCTGAAACAGCTCATCACAGGCTACTGACCACTGTCTATGACAAAAAGAAAAAAAAAATAAGGAGTTTACCATATTTTGGTTTATATATACCACAGTTCTAAATTTTAAACTATAATATATAATGTATTATTATGCTTCTCTAAAGACATATGCAGAAGCATGAGAGATTTAATATAAATCTATGTGTTAGCCTCATTTCCTTACGTAAGTACTAGAACAGATAGTAATCATCAGAAAAAAAATTTCTTGATCCACTTCTCATAAATACACAAGTATTTTAAGTGTCATTTTAATACAGAAACTATCCAAACTATTTCAGAGTATTTTATAGTACTAAAAATCTAATTTTCAATCCTGAACTTTTCTCCAAGATTATTTCAAAGTTCTTCAAGTTGTACTACAGCTGCATGTCAGAAAAATGAAGACTGAAAGAGCTCATATCTGTATATAGCTTTCTAATTCAAACTGTATTTTCATATTCATTCTGTTGTTTAACTCTCACAATAATTTTGTGATTCAAAGAATAACAATTATATGCCATAATTCTGACTACATGCCATAATTGCATGTAATAATTCTTACATGCTATAATCCTGATTTAATAAAATGGCACTGTAATACTTACTGTTCAAAATTACTCAACTTTTACAATTTTTTAATTGTTCACAATTATTTATTTCTTACAAAACACAGGCCCAAGTGTGATACTTATCTTAAAATAGGTACCTTTCATCCCAGTTTTCATTCCAGTCAAACCTTGTTGTGTTACAGGGCGATCGGCAACTTTGATTTGAGAAGACAGAACTCCACCAGTCCCTGTGGGACCACCACGAGAACCTGGTCTTGCTGTCCCAGGTGGCATCTAAATGACAAACAAGATTTCATTTTTAGTAAACTGGAGAAAACACTGTACTCGTAAAACTGCAAAGACAATTTTTTTAAAAACCAAAATTCTACTTGATTTGTAAAAATTTCCTTATTTTTTAAATGTCTGAATTATTAAATACTGTTGTTCAATTTATTAACATATTTCTTTAACATTTAACATTCTGTGACTATTTAAAAATACATTTCATGAAAATTTTAAATTCTATATGTAGACATTATTTATAATACCTCAAGACTGGAAAGGAGCTAAATGTCTACAGTAGAAAATGGTTAAATAAGTTGCACCACATAAAAAGGGCAGTTTAAGTTGGGTGTGGTGGCTCACGCCTGTAATCCAAGCATTTTGGGAGGCCAAGGCAGGTGGATCACGTGAGGTCAGGAGTTCAAAACCAGCCTGGCCAACATGGCAAAACCCCATTGCTACTAAAAATACAAAAGTTATCCAGGTGTGGTGGCACACGTCTGTAATCCCAGCTACTTGAGAGGCTGAGCCATGAGAATCGCTTGAATCTGGGAGGTCGAGGCTGCAGTGAGCCGAGATCATGCCACTGCACTCTAGCTTGGGCAACAGAGTGAGACTCAGTCTCAAAATAAGTAAATAAAATAAAAATTAAAAGGCAGTTTACAAGATAGTATTTATAACTCCATTTTTGTTTGTTTTAGAGACAAGGGCTCACTATGTTACTCAGCCTGGTCTTGAATTACTGGCCTAAAAAGATCCTCCTGCCTCAGCTCTCCAAGTAGCTGGGATTACAGGTGTGAGTCACTGTGCCTAGTTCACAACTCTAGTTTTTTAAAACAAAAAAAAGGCTGGAAGTTTGGGCATGGTGGCATGTACCAACAGCCTCAGCTACTTGGTAGTCTGAGATGAGAGGATTGTTTAAAACCCAGGAGTTCGACGCCAGCCTGAAGAACACAAAGAGACCGTCTTTTTAAAAAAATAAAGAATAAAGACAAAAATAAAAAATTTTTAAAACTATATGAAAAGATAGTAATGATGATGATCTATAATTATATTACAGTTGATTTTTATTTTCTCCTTTATATAATTTGGCATTTTCAGCCTTATTACAATGAGTATATATTACCTTTAAAAATCAGGAAAAAATAAGAAACCTTTAATCTTGTAAAAACAAATGGATATAAATGCATCCTAAGATGACCATGTAAGTACTAAAGGGCTTACATTATTAAACAAGCATTCATGTTATTACTCAACGTGATTCTCTACTTCAGGTATGAAAAATCCAACATAACATTATATGACCTCAGGAAAGGCCAAAAGACTTCCTTTATGTCAGTTCATGTAATACATACAGGCATGAGAAGATATAAAAGACGTGAGATATGGCAAGGTTTCTCTTCAAACAGCCTGCTGAGCTACTTATTCTCTAATTCCAAGTACCTCCTGCCTTTCTTCTCTTTTGTCCTTCTTTCTGATTTTCCTACATGCCCAGGCATGCCACAGCCCCAGCTCACATTCCTTTCCTTATTTGAGAAAAGATTGGCTCTCTAGTCCTCTGTAGATGACCCCTTCCTCCTCTCCCCTCTCTCCCATCACGCACCCACCTTATCTAAGAAAGTTTAAATGTTTAGCCAATCGGGTCTAGTTTAGATTGTGCAGTCCGATCCCACCCAATGGGGAAAGGACACGGGGGCAGGAGTACCATTAGTAATAAAAGCTTCTACTCTCCTTTCTTTAGTGTGCTCTCGTGACAACCAGCCCCATGAGAAGCACCCTACCGCGCAGAAGTAAATTTGCTTTGCTGAGAAATCCTTTGTTTGAGTGCTCGTCTTTCTTTACAACTTCAAATTTTATTTCTAACAATTCTGGGGGCTTGTCTGGGATTCCCATTCTCCTTCAAGAAGGCGTCTTCAGTCACCCCACCCAGGAGAAGACGTGTTCTACCATCCCGTTGCAGTGGCCTCAGGGACAGGAGATTGAGATCCACCCATTCTGATGAACAAATCCAAGCTCTCAGCAACGGGGAAAGGAGAGGCTTACAATAGCGTGGCGACCAAGTAACCCCGTGCACAGACCAACGTGAAAAACGGTGCAAGAGCAACAAAGTATTTCCTTGGTGGTCAGGGTACCTTGGAGGTTAAAAGTGTGTGTAGATGATGTTAACACTACTGCTGTGTGGATTGAGTGGGTCCTATCTGCAGTTCCGTGGTCACCTCATATGGCTTAGGGCGGATCCTGCCATTTCCCAAGAGGAGAGCGGCCAGAGTAGACAAAGCGAAAGAAGGGTGCAAGGAGCCTCCAACAGGTGGGGCTAAAGGATAGGCAAGAAATTTCTAATACTAGGGATTGAGCCTTAACAATGCCTCTGGAAATTGACAAGCAAGAAAATCTCTAATATGAGGGACTGAGCCTCAGAGCCTCAGTGAGCTTCTGAAAGGAGGGAGGGTGAGAAATCACTAGTAGGAGAGGTTGAGCACCCCCAACAGAAGCTCCGGGGAAAGGCCTATTTGAGTTAGACACCATCCCAAACCTCTGAGATGGGAAATGTTTCAAGTAAGAAAGGAAAAGTAAAGAGCCAAGCGAGTGATGAATTTCCTCCTGATAGTCCCTTGGGACTTATGTTAAACTATTGGAAAGGTAATGAAAGAACTAAACATAAAAGAAAGCAGCAAATGATAAAATATTGTTGTTTTATTTGGACTCGAGGGCCCATCCTCAAACCCTCAGTTTTCAAGCCAAAATTTGGTTCCAGTGAAGAGTGGATTTGTCAGCTCTTAATCGAACATGTTAATGACAAAAGCCCTGTCTCCCAAAAGGAAACAGACTATGCTCTTTGTTGGAGGCAAGAACCTGTCCTCCTCTACCCTTTAAAAACCAGAAGTAATAAGCCAGAAACCAACTCCTCTAACAGAGAAAGAGTCCCTGTTCCTAAACAACCCACACCCACCAACACATGGGATCCTCTGGATCATCTTCCTCTGCTCAGTGCCCCTGACCCTCCCCCTCAGGCAGCTGCTGCCGCCTCAGGTCCCATTCCAGATCCTTCCCCTGCTCATGTTATTCCTCCTCCTTATAACCCTAACTCTTAGGAATTATCATCCCATGAGCCTGTCCCCTTCCAGCCTATTAAGTACCCCTCCCTGAAAGGACTTTGACGTGAGAGAGAACAGTGTAAATTTCTAAATTTAATTTCCCATTTCCCTCCACACCTAAGGAGTCAGCCCCGACTCTCTTCCCCTTAAAAGAGGTGCCACAAGGAGGGGGAGCCATTGGATTTGTAAATATTCCCTTGACCAGTTCAGAGGTGCGAAGTTTGAAAAAAGAGCTTCAGTTGCTGTTGGATGACCTTTATGGGGTGGCTGATCAAGTTGATCAATTCTTAGGACCTCAGTTATATACCTGGGTTAAGTTAATGTCCATCCGAGGCATCCTCTTTTTGGAGGAGAAAAGAAGCATAACTGTAGGGCTGCTAAGGCAATTTGGAAAAGTGAACACTCTCCTGGTCAAAATGTCCCTACTGCGGACCAAAAATTTCCCACCCAAGACCTCAGGTGGGACAATAATAATGCAGCTCACCAGGAAAACATGCAAGATCTAGGGAAATGAAAATAAAAGGAATTGGGGAATCAATACTCCGAACTCAAAACCTCTCTAAAGCATTTGATATACAACAACAACAAAAAAGATGAGGGGCCTATAAAATCCTTAGACAGGCTAAAGGAGCAAACGAAACAGTATACAGGCCTAAATTTGGAAGATCCCCTTGGGCAGGGAATGTTTAAGCTCCATTTTATCACCAAGAATTGACCAGATATTTCAAAAAAGTTACAAAAATTAGAAAATTGGGAAGACTGACCGCTAAGTAAACTTCTTAGGAAAGCTCAAAAAGTGTATGTAAGGAGAGACAAAGAAAAGCAAAAACAAAGAGCAAAACTTATGCTATCCACCTTTCAACTGGTGGCTCCAAACCCATACACTTCTAAACAAGGCTTCCAGGGGGCCAAGAACTATAAAAGGTCCAAACTCCCGTGCAAAGGAACCAAGCCTTCAATTAGAGGACATGGGCCTTCATTTCCTAGGCCCTCTAAAGAGTGTAGGGGAGCAAAGTCAAAGAATCCCAGAATTGAAAGGGAGGAAGGACAAGATACATGTTACAAATGTGGAAGAACAGGCCACTTCAAGAGAAAATGTCCTAAATTAAAAAGGGAAAAAGAAGTCCTTCCACCTAAATTAAAAAGGGAAAAAGAAGAGTAGGGGAGTCAGGGGCTCTGTCTCGTTTACTTTGAGTCCCACCAGGAGCTCTTGATAAATTTCGAGGTGGGACCTAAATGTGAACTTATCACCTTTTTAATCGATTCCGGAGTGTCTCACTCCTCTGTCTCACTCCATCTAATCTTGCTGGCTTTTCAGAAGAACTTTAAGTCTCTGGGGTAAAAGGAGAAGGATTTAAGGCCAAAATCTTAGAAAATACAAAAGCCAAATATCAAGATCGATTAACTCATATTCAATTTTTGTTGATCCCTGCGGTGGTAACTAATCTATTAGAAAAAGACTTAATGCTAAAATTAGGCATAGGCCTTCAAGTTGGCCCTAAGGGATTCCTCACCTCATTAAATCTACTCACCACCATGGATGAAAAATACATTCATCCTGATATCTGGTCAAGAGAAGGGAATCGAGAAAAACTTCGAGTTCCCCCAATACACATCAAACTAAAAACTCCTGGGGAAATAGTAGGAGAAAGCAATACCCCACTCCCTTCGAAGGCAGGATAGGGTTAAAGCCTGTAATTGAGAGTCTCATTAAAGATGGACTCCTTAAACCCTGTACGTCTCCCTATAATACCCCAGTCCTGCCTGTCAAGAAATCAGACAGGTCAAACTGATTGGTACAAGACCTCAGAGCTATTAACTAGATAGTCCAGACCACTCAACCCATTGTCCCCAACCCTTACACCGTTCTCAGCCAAATTCCTTATGATCATCAGTGAGTAATAGATTTGAAGGATG